GATGCGAGATATGTGATTTCACTAAAAGCTGTCTAAATTATAAAAAATTCATATCTTGCAAAAGCTTTGGTTTATAAGCCTAAAAGTTTCGCAGTGAGTAGACGACATCTATCTTCAACTGTGGTGAAAATTTCCGACTCCTAGCTGATCATGGTCGTGAGCTATTAATTAATTATTATTAATGGCATCTTCATTAATTAACTCATATCTCCGTCAAAAGGGCGCATGGGCCCGTACCAACTTGGGGTTTTTCATTGCTGACTATTCCCTACATGATGAAAATAGTCTGAGTCGAAAAGCTTTTAATCACCTCGAGAGGTTCCCTCGTAAGCTATACATGATCAAAATATTAGTTAGATTTATAGCAGACAAGCAAATAATTTGGTTCTTTTTAATTTTTGGGGCTCTTCGTATTTTAAGTATAGCATAAAAAGCGTCAATTATTTTGAATTGAGCTAGTAGTGGATTTTGAAGAACGCACTTCATTCTACAAAACAAGATGCTTTCCAGGATTCTACAATATTCTTTCCGAATATTATAGGACAGACGAAAAGAGAAAAAACGGTAACGCATAGAGATTCCGCCTAGTGTTCAAACATGCTGGACAATGAGTACCATTACAATTGGTGAAACAGTTAAATTTGTTGAAATCAACATTTTTAACATAATAACATATTGTTTTATGCTAAATTAGTCTTTAATACATCAAAACATATATTTTAAGCATTCGTATGATCATTCATCTGTAAGTATTTGTTGTAAAATTATACAGTTTTGACAGAAAGTTGCTAGTACACAGGTGAAGTTTGCATAAGAACGGTAATCGGCCCACTAATAATAACCCCTCTACTCGGTCCCAACCTCATCACAATCACATCCGATCGTCATATTCGATGATTTCGACCATTTCGAACGCTTTCAGTCGAATATATCCGACACAATCTACTTGAAACCAAGCGACAGTTTAGCACCAACAGTATGACTGTAAAATCAACATTTCTCAGTAACCATACTATATTAAGCCTAACGTAATACATCATTCGATGCGCCATGAAAAGCTCTACAATATGTGTTGATAGGAAACTTAACGCAGTTTGGCCGCAGCCGCTATGAATCAAATACTAGATTTTTTCATAGATCGCCGCTATGCTACTCGAACCGTCGGTCACCTTTCTCTACGAAACTAAAGATGATGTCTAATAATTCATACATCATTCGATGCGTCTTGAAAAGCCCTACAATATGTATCAATGGCACAGTTAACGAAGCCTGGCAACAGGTTTTATGAATTTAATACTAGACTTTTCGATAGGTCAAGGCTATGCTAAGCGAACTTCTTTTCACTTTCTTCTCTGAAACCAAAGTTGATTTCTAAACATTCATACATCATTGGATGGACCATGAAAAGCTCTGCAATATCTGTTAATAGGAAACTTAATGAAGCCTGGCAGCAAGTTTTATGAATCAAATACTAGATTTTTTCATAGGTCGCCGCGATGCTACTCGAACTGTCGGTCACTTTTCTCTATGAAACTAAAGAGGATCTCTAATCATTCATACACCATTCGATGCGTCCTGAGAAGCTCGATGTGTTAATAAGAAACTTAACGAAGTGGAGCAGTATGTTTTATGAATTTAATAACAGACTTTTCCATCGGTCGTGGCTACATAACAGCCGCGACCAAGCTTCGTTAAGTTTCCTATTAACAGATATTGTAGAGCTTTTCATGGTCCATCCAATGATGTATGAATGATTAGAGATCAACTTTAGTTTCAGAGAAGAAAGTGAAAAGGAGTTCGCTTAGCATAGCCTTGACCTATCGAAAAGTCTGGTATTAAATTCATAGACAAATCCTCATCTAGTCAGGAGTACTTTAAAAGTATCCCGGATAATATCGTACGAATCTGTTAGGATGGTAGGGTAGCTTAACCGAAATTCATTTTTTTAAATCTGAGGCGAAAAACTCGGAATTCTGTTCGTAATTCTCAACTTCCTTCATGAGAACTCAACGTTTATGCAGTCAAAATAGCGTATTCGGAATCAGGATCAGTCAACTTATGGGTATTTCCACCCTATTTATGGCCATGCCGAATTTTTCCGTTGAAAAATGACCACGATTTCTACAAGAAAATGCAAATGGATTAAAAATTTAAAAAAACATATTAGTCGGCTCAGTTTTTCATTCTTATGTGAAAAATTGAGAATTATGAGCAGAATTCTGACTTTTGACCATCCGGATCCCAAGCAAAAAAAATGGAGCTAGAATCGGGCGGTTGGAGCTAGGTAACACCGTTTTCTATCCGGTTAAGCTAGCTCCAACCGTCCGCTTAACCGACCGGTTAAGCTAGTCCCGGTATGAGATAGATTAAACAGAGGGAGGTTATCAGCTAGGTTAACCGCCCGCTTAACCGAGCCATCGAGCTAGGTGTACTGGATCTAGCTCCAACCGCCGCCTTAACTGATCGGTCAAGCTAGTTCCCGGTATGGGATAGATTAAACACAGGGCGGTTATCAGCTAGGTTAACCGCCGGCTTAACCCATCGAGCAAGCGCTATCTGATCTTGTCTTCTCCTTTTGATATAAGCTTTATTCTTTCAAAATACACACTCAGAATACAGAATACTTCTATTCTGAACGCATAAAGCTTATAACAAAAGCAGGGGAAAATTTTATTTAGGAGGAGAATTGAGGAAAGGAGGACGAGTACGATGCAAGGTTAAAAATCCATTGGTTTTTAGGAGTCGAGCATTTAGCACCCTTTATCATCTAGCCACTACGATAGATATACCATTCAATAGACAATTCCTTGCGCTACAAGTGCATATATATATATGATAGTGAAAAAAGTGTCCTAGGACTTTAGAAATACTATCTAGAAAGCAGTGAAAAGTGGCTGGCTTATTCCACAGTGAGGATTCTATGATCACCGCTTCCCATCTAGCCACTACGTTAGATATACAGATCGACAGACATTTTCTTGCGCTACAAGTTCATATATATATGATAGTGAAAAAGTGTCCTAGGACCCCTTGACATTAGAAATACTATCTGGAAAGCCGTGAAAAGTGGGTAGCTTATTCCACGATGAGGATCCTATGATCAACGTTTCTCAACTAGCCACTACGATAGATATACCATTCAACAGAGAATTTCACGAGCTTCAAAATGAGTTCCAAATAAATCTTTCACAAACATGTCCACATAGGTCAACAGTTAAAACACTTGGCCGATATAATGATTTTGATATGATCAACGTTTCTCAACTAGCCACTACGATAGATCTATCTTAATCTGATAGACCAGCAGTCAGATTCAACTGCTGACCCATGTGGACATATGTGTGAAAGATTTATTTATAGCTCATTTTGAAGCTCGTGAAATTCTCTACCGAATGGTATGTCTATCGTAGTGACTAGATAGGCAACGTTGACCATAGGATCCTCACGATGGAAGAAGTCAGCCGCTTTTCACGGCTTTACAGAAAGTATTTCTAATGTCAAGATGCCCTACGACACTTTTGTCACTATGCTATCTATATACATGAAAAGGTAGCGCAAGAAATTCTCCATCGAATGATAGATCTATCGTAGTGGCTAGTTGAGAATCTTAGTAGGATCATGTATTCTCAACTAAGAAAAATATCTGAGCAGAAACTTGAAGAAATCCTGAACAGGATCCTGTTTAACCTTGAAAAAGCCTGGAAACACGAACTACTAGGATTCGAAACAGGAGCCTGAATAAAACTTGACAAGATCCTGGGGACTCCGAATCCTGAAAGATCCTACCAGGGTTTCTCAAGGAATGAACAGGATTGAGACTAGGGATACGACTTTTATTTACATCAGTTAAAACGTCTGCCTATATGCAAACTGAAGAAAGCGTATAGGATCCTACGGAACACGGAAAAGCTTACGCTAGGAAACCTACATATTCCCATGAATTCGTAAACGTCTCACGATGGGCAACTTCCTGATCTGCAATCAACTGGAAGATAATACACTACCCTCTAAAATCTTTAAAATTCAGAAAAAAATAGAAAATCTGGATGTTCTCTTCAGCCTCCTTTTGGAGAGGAAACCTTTCTAGCCAATTCGTTCCTGAGTTTTGACGTCAAGCGACAGTCGAGCATCTAACACGAAACATTTATATAGGAAGAAACGTCCGTTTTCCTTTTTGTTTCCAAATGTGGCTTTTTATAGGGACGCTAGAAAAATGGGCACTTTTCAGGGTCTTCTTACATGACAAAAAGAAATTTTCGAAACAAAAATTTTTGCACAGAAAATGCGCATATGAACGGCTAAGGATGGAACTTATTGTTCTCAGATACCAGCAAGAAAAACTGTTGTTAGGCTCAAAACTGCAAAGAATAAGTTGTTATACAAATTCTCATTGAACAGATTATTCCGTCATAGGATTAAAAATTCTATCTGTAACCTTCTATCGGATAAGACTTCGGTGTATTTGTGTAAGCATTAGACTCCGGTGTATTTCCTCTCCAAAAGGAGGCTGAAGAGAACATCCAGATTTTCTATTTTTTTCTGAATTTTAAAGATTTTATAGGGTAGTGTATTATCTGCCAGTTGATTGCAGATCAGGAAGTTGCCCATCGTGAGACGTTCATATGGGTTGTTTGTGAGGTAAAAAACGAGCAACATGCATATTCCAAGAGCTCTTTCTTTCTCGCAGGTTACTTTATCGATCTTGTCTTAAGTTTTTGATCTTCTGACTCATTCACTTAAGCAAAAAAGTCTGATTTCGGACTCAAATTTCGTCTTTTACATTTTTCGCTCGAGGGTCTTCTAATGTGACAGCCCCTTTAGGGCGCTGTTTTCCAACGAGTAGCATGTCCTTTTTAACAAAATCTCTGCTGTTAGCTTGGTTTTTTTATTCTAAAAAGTAACATAGTTAATCCTGTCTTTTGATAGAAAATCACTTTTAGTGTCAGCGAGATTAATAAAAAATACAAAGCTATAATTAATAATAAATTAAAAGCTTTAGTTTATGATTTTGGATGTGGTGGTTTTGAATCTCGACCAATTGCATCGTTTGGTCTAGAAGCCAACGAGAGTTTCTTTGCTTGATCGGCTGCGACTGGTCGCCGTAAACGTTCTCTTGGTTCAAGTTTTTGTGTTTTTCCTGTTTCCAAAGCTCGTTTGATAGCACACACCACACGTATATCCATGTGACCTTCTTCTCCATTTGGTTCTGGTTCAATATTATTTATAATACAATCCGAGAAATATTCAGTTTCACCACCGAACTGGTCGACTTCGGGAAACGTTTTTGAACCATGTTTGCCCTCGATTTTTGTGTTATACGAAATTTTAACTCCCGGACCATAGGAATAGCCTGGATCAACTGTAATTTCGCCTAGAAACAGAAAAACTTATCAACTGAGATTCACACGAGACCAGAATTCTGAAGTTCTCTGCTACTATTCTACTGTACGAAAACCTTTGGTTAATCCTCGTTTTCGTAACAGGTTAAACGTCTCTTAGCTTTCTACCTTGAGAACCTAACATAATGCGAGGCACAGTAAACATTCATTAAAAACTAAAATCCACTTTTTTCATAAAATATTACACGCAACTTCGATATCGGGACTATTTACTGTCACAACAAATTTTGGATTCTGAAAAAGACACCATAGACGTAGCTTGAAAACTAATAAAGATAAGTTCTGAAATAACTCAGAGTATGTCATGATTTTAGATCATTTAGCTCAGCTATTAACAAAATTTCCAGCGTGTTCTAGAAAAAAGTGCACTATTCATGCTAACAAATTTTCTTAAATTTGTTTTACTACAGAGAGTTTCCATTTTTCAACACTTAAATATTCAAACGTTCCCCATCGATAAACATGGCATCTATTGATTTCTGAATTTGTGCGGTACGTCCTCTGCACAAAAACTGGATTTATTAAGTGAAACCTGGTTTTTCTCATTCTTAAGAAACAATTCATTTTCTGAATTAGCATGGCAAACAGCGTTAAATTATTCACAAAACAATAATTTTTCGCCCCATATGAACAGAGGCTTCTACATCTATTCTGTTTTTGAAATTAGCGTTATGTTTTCATAAACAGATTAGTCTACATACCTTTGGTTCCAACTAGTCTATAATAACCGCTAGCTGATTGTGAATAACCAACGGTAAATTGAGCAACTCTTTCTTGAGGAAATCGAAGTGTGACGTTAATCGTATCATGTTCCATATTCAATCCCGTTCGTCCCGGAGTTTTAAAACCAACAGCTGAAACTTCAATTGGTTCCATACTATACAGATTTCGAACAGCACTAAACGAAGTCGAACAATAGAGAATTAAGATCAGTCAATAGCGGCACTGCCTAGCTACCTACAACTCCTTCTAGATCTATTTATGAAAAGCGGCCTAAAGATATTCGTCCGCTAACACCAAAATATTTTTCGCCCTCTCCTCCCCAGATAGCAAGATAGACAGGCCCCATTTTCGATTATAACCGAAACTGACATAATCAGAACCAAACTTTCTTTTAGTGCTGAATTAGGCACACTACAATGTAGACTGAAGCACCCTCTTCAATCCTGAGTTGGCTCCTAAAACCGGTGCGTTTGACAGTACCATGGCCAAATAGGGAGGGGTGTAAGGTGGTGTACGCTCGTCCTGCTTTTGGAAAAAAATGTTCTCTTTTACAATCTCTATTCTCCCAAGAATTTCGTCTGAGCTCTTGCCCGCATTTGGTAACCAATTTAATCAATATTTAACAAAAGCATGCTGCCTTTCACTTTTTCTCCCAAAATAGTTTAGAGCAAAATCTTTCCCATTTTTCTTCAATGAGAAAAAAAGCTCAAATTGATATCAACATTATCATTATCATTTAGTTATTGTGTTGAAATTATGATAATAGATGTTATGTTCTATGGTTTTCTCTTAAATAAATGTACTCCTGTTTTGTCTCACTACAGCACTAGCGTTTGATAATACAGTTTTAGAAGTTTTACCTTGGCAACATTTAGAAGATCTTATTCTAAAGGAAAACGTTTTCTCTGTAACATGAATTTGCTACAGAAAAGTCGAAAATTTTCATCGTTACAAATTTTCAAAAGCAGAGATAAAAAGTAGTCGTTTTTAACAAAAATAACTCTACTTACTTAATAGGATAAACTCCCATATCAGGAATCGGGCCTGAATCGAATCCTAGAATTTATAACATGCCGTTTAACAGTTCCTGTCTATCTATTTTTTATTTCTTACCAAATTTTGCTCGATGATTTTCTTCCAATAAATTTTGTGTGTGAATTGATGAGAAAATTCTCGGATCTCCAAAATCTCCATTTCGGACTCGTTCAATGATATCCAATGTCCCCGGTTCACAATGAAGGCGATAGGCAATCATTAATTTTGCTCCGCTTTTTCTCTGTGCATCTAAAATCGCCTGACTATCTTCTTCCGTAACTTCAATTGGCTTTTCCAAAAGACAATGATAACCTAAGAAGCGGAAAGAAAAGCTTAGGGTGAGAAGAACTTTAATGTTCGATGTCTCTCTTAAAGCTGTTTACTCTTTGGTAGAGAGCGTCTTAAGAACCAAAACCAAGTGAGTAGAAATTCATGCAAAGGTTTATACGAAGGAAAGTAGACCTAATCTATATCTCACGGATCTAAACAGGAGAGGAGTTTGATTCATTTCAGACAGGAACCTCACGCTATAGAAAACGAACACGAGGACAAGTCCCATCCAGAAGGTAACGTTAGCAAGCCTCAAGTCACGAACTTACTCAAAAAATTTGAAGAAAAATTAACCTCGGTATATGTTGCTCCTCAATGGGATTGGGAAGCAATGAAGAACGACTACTTCGATTTGGTATTCCTAAAGTTTTCCACTTTTTCTCTATGCTTGCTACTGAGAGGAATTGTTCAAAAATTCTTTCTTTAATTTCAAACCGTTTCGGTTAATTTCTACGTTACCTATTCTTTTAGTCAAAAACTACTTATTCTACCTTTTCTAACGTATTTAGATTAGAAAGTGGTCATTTTTCTTGAAAGAAATATCGAACCAATAATCAAAAAATCAGACTATTACTGAGACTTGGGTTCATTATAACGAAAATATCCGAGATAATAAGCAAAGCTCCGCTAAATCTAACATCTCCACAAGGTACTTTCGTTATAAACCTGATGTAGGTGTTTTCCGCATTTATAAACATTCAAGTTCAGCGTAACATCGTAGTCGTTCCTGGCATATGAGAGCGGGGTAATTATTCGTATTTTTTCACTTTCTCCCATAAAAAGCATGTAATAGGACCTCACGTCGATACCTCCGCTAAGTTTGGTTTGAAAATCAAGTACAAGGTCAAATTCCATTTTTAGACGGCGAAGGTACAGAGCATCAGAGAGAAAGCTTCAAAAGATAACCCGTGTAGAACCTCACAAGTATAATCGTTTCATTAGAAAGACTTGGTTTTCGCAGCAGCTTTTTAAATACATGAAAATTCAATAAGATTTTCGTACTTTTTCATTTTGTCTTCATAAACAGCTTACAAGCTGTTCAATAAAAAAACAAAACGGTATCTTACCCTTCTCAAGTGCGGGTACGGCAAATTCTCGATGACGTCCATTCGGTGTCGCTATATAAAGTGCATCACACTCATCCGCATCCAATAACTTATTGAATTCATTATATTTGTAACTTTTCAAATTGTATTTTTCAGCCAACGTATCTGCTTTTTCATCGTCGCCCGTAACTAGAACGGTCATCACAGAATTTGATGTCTGACCGATGCCGGGCATAAATGCATGTTGACTGATATGTCCACCACCGACGACAGCATAACGAATTTTTGGTCCAGATGGTTTTCGACCAACAAGCGTGTTAATCGCGTCTTTTATCGTATCCATACTATCTAGAATACAAAAATGAAATTTCTTTTTAAAGATAGCTTATAAGAACTATGTTTGCTCTATATGACATCTGACTAAAAATAGCCTGTTAAATACCATGCACAGAAAACATCCAACTAATAGAGTTTGTTCATATTATACACAAAGATCTTGAGAACGGCAAAGACGTTATAAACTTTTTCTTCAACATAAATTAATTTTATTTTATAGAATAATTAAAGGACTTGTTCCTCCATATTTACCAAGGAAGGTAACATATCAGTATGGCATAAAATATCAAAATAATCTGAACCTACCTTCGATCCAGACTCATAGTGAGATATTCGATAAAAGTTTCTTTCTTTCTGTTATCGTTAAATGGAACGGTCTACAACAACACATAAAAGAATCCAATACTAAAAATGTGAAGTCTTTAAAAACACATATGCAGACTAGTTCAACGGTTTATCGAGTTTGCAAGATTCTAAGAAAAGCTGATATCATCTGCTACCAAATAAGATCTGAATTTTCGCAGTTAAATGCTGATCTTTATCTAAAGCATTTATCTGATACTAATCGTTGCCAATGCGGCGAAATAGAACACGATATCATTATTTACTTCATTGTAACCGTTATATTTTCTCTAGAAATAATTTATATAATAATTTATGCTTTTTACTGAACGACAATCCTCTTAGTTTGGCTCTTTTCTCGCTTAATGTACTACCTCTTGAGAAGGACTCCTATATACTTTTAGTCAGATCGGTGATCGAATACATAATTACTGCCAAACGTTTTAAACATTAAACTAACCATCTCAGTTTGTTATGCTTCCTACACTGTTTTTACGCTTTTCCTTAACGCCTGTACAATACCGTAAGCTGTTAGCGTGCATCATTTTATTCTTCTTGTCTTCTTCCTTACATGCTGTATCCTTCTTTTTCTTCTTATGTTTCGTGCTTTTTATCCGTAATAGCTTATATTATTTACGATGTCGTTTTCCTCTGATATAATGGCCTAGGCTGCATCTGCGTAGAATGACTATTCTTATTTCTCTTTCTTGAATGAATAAAGTTTAAACTCAACTACCTCTGTTTGCAGGTGTATGAACCCACTGCAACAGCTTTTTCAAAATATTACAGGCTAGAGGCTGATTTTTAAACAGAACTCGGAAAAAAAAGTGAAAATCGCAAATTTTTCAAAAAGATACATCGGAAATTATATTATAAAATGTTTTTTACCCCCCATGAAGAAAACTTTAAAAAATTGAAAAAATACCTCGAAAGAGCAATAAAAGCTCAGCCTCATACATCTTCAATTTCTTGTACCTTGAAATTGTACTGAACCTTAAATTGCTACGAAAGAAAGGAGCTGAACATTCCGATTCGCCCAGCAAATCTTGCTGTAAACGAAATTTTGAACTCCTTTTTAGTAAATTTCATAAAAGAACTTCTTACTGTAAACTGTCCTTAAGGATCCAAATATCAAATGCCTTCTCTAGCTAGTTCTACCAATCGCTCTAAGAAGTATGGCATTTCTAGAGAGTTCAGCTCAAGGCAGAACAGTATCTGTCTGATCAACTAAATATGAACCATAAAGATGCACGTGCATAAATTATGGATTACTTACGCATTTTCTGCAACCCTCTCGCCCAAGTAAAGCTTAAAGTTACTATTTTCTTCGAACATATGAAGAACATTTCTACAACAAAACTCACCACTTACTCCGATATACTTTTAGGCTTATGGCAGTGTGTCTATAAAGAGTCACGAGGCGAGAAACGTGAGTGCAAACAGTTGAAAGAATAACGAAAATGTTGCTATAGAGAAGGAAAAACATTTTTGACAAAGAAAGAAAAAGCAGTTTTATATGTGCACACCATTTGACTTTCTTGTCCTATTTCTTCAAGATTCTTGTCTCTTACTATTTCAGAGAAGAATCTTTAAATTTGTCTTGATAGATCAGACAAGATTTTTCTTTTAATTTTTTATCGATTTTGCATCTTTTTCGTCAAAGATTCTTGTCTGAAATGGCAAGGTTCGTTGACGATAAAATCGATTATACACGCCTTCTTTTTGTTTGCAAGATTCCTTTAAGAATTACAAGACAAGTTCTTGGCTGAAATCGCAAGTCACAAGAATCCTGCTAGAAATAGAACAAGAAACTCTACTAGCGCGTTATCAAGTGACAAAAATACTTTATTTTCTGTTTTCCTTTCTTTTATATTCTTTACAGGCATTCAATGGTCGACACTCTTGTGAATATTCTTGCAAGATTCTTGTTTCTTGGCATTTCAGACAAGTATCTTGTAAAATATTTCATATGTATTTTTATCACAAGAACCTTTCAGGAAATCGCTTTTTTGTGAATTCACACGAGAATCGTGAGACGGGTTCTTGTCTGAATACTCAAGAAAGCGATTTCCTGCAAGAATCTTGTCTTGTAATTCTTAAAAGAATCTTGCAAACAGTAGAATGCATCTATAGTCCATTTTTCGTCTTCTTTTCTTTTCATATATATAGGAGCTGGACGCTCTAATGCCAATACAGGCACATGTAAAGGCTCGATTGTCTCTCGACAAGAATCTCACGAGATGTAAAAGACCTTTTAAAGACATCTATATCTATAGTATTGAGCTATATATGTAACTTGTATATAGCAGGGGAATCGACAAATTAATTGGTGATTTTGTCGTCAACGAACCACGACACTTCAGACAAGAATCTTTAATGAAAAAAGATGAAAAATCAATAAAAAATTAAAATAAGAATCATCTCTGATCTATCGAGACAAAATTGAGGATTCTTGTCTGAAATGGCAAGAGACAAGAATCTTGCAAGAATACCCACAAGAACATTGACCAGTGTTCTTTCTCTCTTCCTTTTCTTGCTGCGCTGTCTAGATCTAACTGGCATTTTCTTCGTTTTGGAATAGAACAAAAAATAGCTATAAAAAAGAGAAATCATTCACAAACTACTTTCAATAGGTGTGATACATAAGAAAGTCGGTCTGCACCAACTTCTTTAGTATCAGTCCGATTTTTCTAATTTTTAGTTCTTAAAGGTGTCTCGACGTGCTCGATCTTTTGCCTAGCAGAAGGTTCTTTTCAAACGCTCGAAATTAGGGTTTCTAGAAAACCATGGTTTTTGACCCACAGGTTCGACTAAAATTACTTTTGAAAAAAAATTGAGTCTCCAACTCAAAATTTGAACTTTTAAATTTTCAACTTTTCAGCCTTTCTTTTTTAACATTAAAAATATCTTAGCTCGGGAAGGTGATAGAACGTTGATTTAAATGGCATTGTATAGAGAATTGAGAACTAAATAAACGTAGATGTTTATCGAAGTTCCAATATCGGATCTTCCTGGTTTTTTATGAGTTTTCCAACAACGTATTTGAAATTTCGCATTAATTTTTAAATCTTTTCAGTATATATCTTTATAGTTAATTTCGTAGTTATTTTATTGAATACAATGAATAGAGTTGAAGTCAATGAGCCTGTTTTTGAGGAACTTTTTCAAAGATCCGGGTACCCTGCAAGAAATACGCATGTTATAAAAGTATTTAATAATATTTTGTTATGAGTGTCCGTGTGAAGAATATCAGAATAGAAGCTAAGGGAGAAAATGTCTTAACAGACAGACGTACAGCTATTCTTTCGTTTCTTCTTATGTAGATCAATGCGACCCTATAGCATACGTGTACATCAGATAAAATCTTTACGCTATAGTGGACAAAACTTCAAAAATAGGCTCATTGACTTCAACTCTATTCATTGTATTCAATAAAGTAATTACAAAATTAATTATAAAGATATATACTGAAAAGATTTAAAGATTAATGTGAAATTTCAAATAGGTTTTTTGGAAAACTCATAAAAAACCAGGAAGATCCGATACTGGAGCTATGATAAACGTCTACGTTTATTTAGTTCTCAATTCTCTATACAATGCCACTTGAATCAACATTCTGTCACCTTCTCAAGCTAAGATATTTTTAATGTTAAAAAAGAAAGGTTGAAAAGTTGAAAATTTAAAAGTTCAAATTTGCCGCCGTGTGCATCGTAATCCTTGGATCAATGTCTAATAAAACAACAGTTAATTCCTGATCATCTTTGGTAGTCATCATGACTCTTTCTTTCGAAATAAAGAAACGTGTAAATTGTTGAGGTATGAAATAAAAAATGTTCTAAAAATATACTTAACGTCAAAATTCCATGATTCTTTTTAGTATCTTTATCTGCTGGACTTACTTACAGTTCACAATTTTTTCGTTTTTTCAAACTTTGAAAACAAATGTTTACCTTACATGATTGTAAAAATGTGAAGTAATCTTGATTGTTTTTTTTAAAACGTTTTATATAAATCTTAAATCAGCTGCTCTTATAATCATATCAGTAGAAAATTAACTTTATATAACTGAATTTTGTCGTACATAGCAGGAAAATAAGAAGAAAGAAGGAATATATTTACGTTTAACTGCATTTTTGTTGTTTCTTAGTTCGGTATAACATCCTGTATAATATTCACACTTGATGGTGACAATAGTGGCAAATAAATCGAAAAATTGTGTCCCCAGTTTTATAGACTTTTAACCATAAACGAAAACAAGAGGAGCTGCAATTATTTTTAAAA